TTTTCTTCTAGTGGAAATTTGGAACATTGTTTAAAATTTACTTTTTATATCTAGATAAATGTTTCATAGTTTTAAGTACATAATCTCTTAAAAACACCCAGAGTTCATTACAGTTGTTCCACATAGGACTAAATTTCTTTCTTTCTCACCTTTAATGCCTATAAAGACAATATTATAAAACATTAAATTCTCAGGATGAGATACGTTTCTGAAACAAATAATAATGTATTCATTGAAATATGAGCAAAATTAAGCTATGAAAAACAAAGCCTTCAGGCAGAATAGTGAAATTACTTTATAATTTGCTTTAATATGCTTTGTTTGAAAGTGTTCTTATAAGCCATCATTAAATTTCACTATTTTAACCAAACTGCAAACATTACATAAGTGTTCAGTGTTTAGCTTGCCTCTTTTTCACACCCTCCGTGTTTTCATGTCTAAATTATCTAATTTCCTAGAATCTCTTGAGCCTGAGGGATCCATTACTGTTTCAATGGGTATTGACTTTTGCGATTCCACTCAGACTGCCAGTTTCCAGTTGTGGTAAGTTCAGTTGTTTTTCTATATTTTATATTACCTGTAAAGGATAGCAGATCAAAACTAGGCTTTCAGCAGCTTTTTTTCTTTGAGAGACAAAACATTTAAACAAATGTGCTTTTCTTTGGCAATGGTTATACTGCCATGGAATAGCTGTACAAATTGTGTACAATATATGTATGTGTAGTATTTTTACACAGCTAGCCATTACAGTCTTCCATATGTGATTGGAATTCATAGTTTGTTGGTCACAGTAAGAAGCTACTGCTAAATAATATTTTTACTTCTCTTAACTCTGTAGTTTTGGAAAATTCAGGAGAAAATTCGTGAGGAAAAATCGGGAGGAATAAAGATCTTTAATAATAAAGATTATTGAAGAGCCCAGAGAAGATAACTTTTGAAACATCTTATGTGTTATCTTAAGCCTCTTATGTGGAGAATTATTGATTCTTTCAGTACCTAAAATCCATACATTTTTCCCTTTTTACTTTAATTTACACTGCTTTTGATATAATTCTAAAGGGAACATTTGGCAAAGGTTTCATAGGTGAATATCATTTCAAGGAGCTTTTTCTAGGTTTGCATTTTGTCATTGTTCATTGTTTTTATATAATATTTTATACATTTCTAATGAAATCCAGAAACTATTAGCAATTAGTACAAGGTTTACATTCATGCATCTTTAAGAATTATTTTTGAACTCTTCTTTTACATTTTTCTGGTCTAGGATATGATTTATCATTTTGAAGTTGCATTGTTTTTATTCTAAAAGAGAATTGAAAGATTTTGTCTAAATTTTCACTAGCTTAAAGCAAAGCTTGTTCCGATAAAAATCTCCAAGTTTAGGAAATTGACATTTTTAAATAACTTTATAGGTTAAATATAGTCCACCTTTCTTTTTTTCATATACCTTTTCAGTTTACCAGTAATTCAGGCCTAATATTGTACCATTTATTGCTGAGAACCTGCAATGATGAATATAAGCAATGTAGCATGACACATTGATTTTATGCAGATCATCACCTTTATGTTTTGGGAGGTCTACTATATTAGTGATATATAAAAACTGATTACTTTTCCCAACATTGCCTAGTAATTGTTTATTATTTTTCTATTAGACAAACAACACAGATCAATATTACTGAGCACAAGACTATGAGTAACATCACTCTAAATAGATTTGCCTCAAACACCAGAGGTATATTCATTTTAATGATTTCGACAATGTGAGCCCAATGACAAAGCTCATATACCAAGTTAGGGCAAAATTACGAACTAAAAAAATTCTTCTTATCAATTTATCTAAACAACCTTCTATATTTCTCTGTAATAAGGGATTTTATTTAATATATTTTCATTACAAAGATTTCCTCTGTAGTCCTTTTACAAGATTTGCATTTTGTCTTTCACAATTAAGTCTCTTTAGAGATAAATACGTAGGTAGTGTTTGATTTTGATCTTATATTGGGAAGTGTACATGAACAATTTTTTCTCAGTTCCCCTTAAACTAATTTTAGGAAAATGATGGATGTATTTTACAAAGAAAATAACCTTCGCTATTATAAGCATTTACATTAATATATTTTGCTGCTGTGAAGGTATAAATGATTTTAGATTTTATTAAGTATATTAGATCAAAAATTATTTTTTTGTGTGTTCCAAAAGAACACTTTGTCTTGCATCACATGTAATTGATCCTGAAGCAGTGTAATCACAATTACTCACTTTCTTAATTGGCCTGCCCAAAATCAGAAAATGGAAACCGATCGACAGTGTTTAAATCAATAGCTTCATAGTAGTGCTGGAGGGGGTAGGGAGATAGTGGTAATGGGTAGATCAATTGGTCTTAGATGCCAATCACTGACTGTGCCTTTTGCATAGTAAACAGCACTTTTTGCTTAGTGATGTGCTGTATTAGTCTTGGTAGTTTGATAAAAAGGGGAAAAAAAGCAAAAATGGCTGATACTGAATTTTTTCTTCGAAATACATTATACATTTCTTCGATACATAAAATTATGGGTAATAAAAGCATACTTGATAAGACTTCAAAAATGTTGAGAACATGGACT